CAGCAGGATGGGAAGCACCGTGAGAGAAGTGACTAGTACAAGATGATTCTTAGGCTTCTGTCTTGGGCAGCTGGGTGTGTAGTGGTACTCATTCCTGAAAAATGTTCACAGAAGTCAGCAAGTTTGCAGTTGATTTTGACTCGGTTTAGGTGCCTGCAGGACAGGAAGTGGAGCTGTCCCAGTGGCAGCCAGCCTTATACTAGCTGATCTCAATCTCAAAGCTTCGGTCTGGAGATTAATTTGAAGTATTAGCCTATACACGGCAATGGTTTAAGTCACTCAGCGAGAGGAACTTGAGTGGTAATAGGAGTAGCTTGATAGTGCTTGCCCCTGCTCTACCACCGCTAGAAGAGAGCTGCGGGTACCGCTTCTCCTCACTCACTTTCTCTGCAAATCCTAAACATCGCCAAGCTTCACCTGTCCTTCAAAGCCAGCAGCACCATGTTTTGGTCTTTTTTCCTTAGTCCAGAAATATTCTCTCCTTAATTTAGAGGTTTTGTTTTTGAGGTTTTTTTGTTTGTTTGTTTTTTTCCTAGAGGGTATGTGTGTTTCCTGGAGAAACAGAAAACCAAAAAAATCACCCCGCCCAGGGGGAATGGCCACTCCACAATCTCTTCTCCATTCTCCTCTCAGGATTTTGGGCACTCACACACATGTGCCGGGTATGGTTTCAAGCAGTCAGATCCAGGACTTGAACCTCAGTCACCCATGTGGGAGTCCAGTGCCTTAACTACTACACCACCTGCTAGCCCCAGAATTTTTCCTTGTATCTTTCTTAAGGCATCTTTCTTAAGGCATGTTTTCATCTATGTCAGAGTGTAATATTTGTCTCTCATTTCCCTAGTAGACATGGTCTCTTTCTTAAAATGTTCAGTGTTAGGATCAGCAGTTGGCATAATGGCTATGTCACTGGACCCATGTAGTTGACTGCAGTTCAAGTCTCAGACCCGGTGGCTTAAACTCATGTGGGACACATGCACGTTCAGGCCCAAGATCCCGAGAGGAGAATGGAGGAGAAAGGATTGTGGCATGGCCATTTGGGGGGGGGGTGATTTCTCGCTCTCTGTCTCTCTCTTTCTGGTAAGTGTGCACCCTATAGCAAAAATTTCTCCAAAAAAAATTCAGTGTTTGAGAAGAGCAGGTGGAAGTTAAAACAACTGGATCCCACACAGCCAGCTCTGCCATTTGAGTCCCAGACCTGGTGGCTTGAAAATCACCAGGCACATGTTCATGTATCTCCAAAATCCCTAGAAGAGAATGGAGGAGGGTTTGCAGCGCGGCCATCCCCCCACCCCAGTGATTTCTCACTTTCTCTCTCTCATTGTCTGTCTCTGTCTGCAGAGCCATACACCCTATAGCAAAAATTAAAAAAAAAAAAAAACGTTCAATGTCTTAACCATCTGTTCATCCCATCCATCAAGTTCAGCTTTGTCCAAAACACATTCCTTTAAATGAATGGAAGAATATATAGTGTTTTTGTTTGACTTTATTTCAATGGATAGGTAAATGGTGTTAGATAAATTGAGTTTAATCTTTTAACCTTTAAAGTATATCCTGTATATTTCCTAGGGTTTTGTTGGTTGGAGTTTTTTAGGCAGTCAGGACTGTACAGAATTAAACTTTCTCACAATAATTGATGGCTGTCCTTACAATGTTCTTTTTCATTACAAAGCAATGCCCTGCCAATTGGTTGATCATAGTAAATGTGAACTTGTAGAATTTTATCTTTTTTTCAGTTAACTCCAGGCTATTCTGTCTAGAGGTTCTAACTTTTGTCTCTTTTCTCAACTTAGTAAATTATTACTGTCTTTTGAAGCTCTTTGATTCCCAATTCATACTTGTTTCTGATGTAGAACAAACCAAGAATCACAATTAATAGAATTAAGTCTATAAACAAGTAGTAAATTTAGTGACAGCTTATATGATTTTTTATGAGTGAAGCGACTGGATTTACTAACAGTAATTTTAGTGGATAAGACTTTGTTTTCTTCCTGATTGTTTTGTGTGTTTTTTTGTTTTTGTTACTGTTGTTGTTTCTGGGACCTTGTGAGTTTGCCAGCTAAGTGAAATGTTACTCCAAGAAAATTTCTATGGTGCTCTAATTGACTTGTGGAGTGTTTTTATCACAGGTCACTTGCCTCTCAATGCATGCTCAGGGGAAGAGTCAGGTACGAGTTGAACATCCCACATCTAAAATGCTTGGGGACTGGAAGTATTTTAGGTTTGGGATTTTTTTCATATTTTGGGATTTTACATATACATATGAGGTATGATTGGAATGGAACCCCAGTTTAAGCATGAAATTCTCTGCTATGTGTCTTATACACATAGTGTGAAAGTAACTTCATACAGTCATTTTTGAGTGCAACTAATCATATGAGGCTAGGTGTGGAATTTGCTACCTGTGGCATGTCTGCACTCAAAAAGTTTGTAATTTTGGGATTCAGATGTTGGGATTAGGAATGCTATTAGTTTTTAGGGAGGTTGTTTTTGGTATCTGTTTACTCAATAGAATTAACACACTATAGCTTTCTGTTACTGAAGAAATATTAAATTAATTTATAGAAAAGAGTCTCATCGTGGAAGGCAAGAGGGAAAAGAAGAAAGTGGAGAGGCTAACAATGCAAGTCTCTTCCTTACAAAGAGAGCCATTTACAATTGCTCAAGGTAAGTTTATCCTGTGTTCTTTTCATTTTATGGTGAAAATGCCTAAATGTGCAAAAATGATGGTTAGCATTGCTTAGTATTTAGGTATTTGGTGTTTAGTAAGTACCAGGTTGTTGAGAAAGTCATGACGCACTTTTCTCTGCAAAAATGTGTGACTTCCCTGACGACAGTAATGGACTCGTGGAGTAATTTATTTAATACGCCCAGTAGTGCAAAGCTATATGTAAATTAGTCTAGAAAAATAATTCTCATTAAACTAACTTTCTCAACGTATTAATGAAGCAGTGGGGATTTAATTATGATGGGGTTTCGTTGTTGTTCTCTAGGAAAGGGGCAAAAACTTTGTGAGATTGAAAGGATACATTTCTTTCTGAGCAAGAAGAAAACAGATGAACTTAGAAATCTACACAAACTGCTTTACAACAGACCAGGCACAGTAAGACCTTCTGTTTCTACCTTTAATTTGTTTGTGTATGTATGTATACTTCACCAAACAATTTCAGTTCTATGAAAGACCTTAACAACTAGTTCTATTCCTACACTATAAGAGTAATCAAGCTGAGGCACATAATTGTTAAATGACTTACTCAGGACACAGCTGGGTATTAGCAATTAGGACTGTAACATCGAGGGTTCTTCTGTGGTTGTTTTTATTCTAAAATTTCAAGTGATGAAATCCAAATTGTAATGACTTTAGTGATCTTTAAATGCATTAGAAGAAACTTAATTGGGGTATTTTGACTGTTCAGGATAAATGGGTGCAATTTTATCTTATTTGAGCAAGTAAATATTTGTGCAGTAAATATCTGATATATTAAATGATAACTCTTTGTTAAAATATTCATTAATATTCTGTACATGTAACAGTGTTCCAAGTGTTGGGGAAACTTTGGGTACGTGTGGGCAAATTAAAGTTTAATGTATAAATAGAATAGGGGGGCCAGCAGTTGGCGTTATGGCTATGCCACTGGACTACCAGGTAGTTGACCACATTTCAAGTCCTGCACCCAGTGGCTTAAACACACATTGGGCATGGGTGCGTGTGTACCCAAGATCTAAAGAGGAAAATGAAGAAGGAATTACAGTGTGGCCATCCCGGGGCGGGGGGTGATTTCTTGCTCTCTGTCTGTCTTTCTGGCGAGCATGCGTGGCCTATAGCAAAAACCTCTCATAAATAAATAAATAAATGGGGATCAGCAGTTAGCATAATGGCTATGTTGCTGGACTCCCACGTAGTTGACCGCAGTTCGAGTCCTGGGCCTGGTGGCTTAAACTCACGTCCGGTGTGTGTGTGTGTGTGTGTGTGCGCATGCCCAAGATCCCGAGAGGAGAATGGAGGAGAAAGGATTGCGGCATGGCCATCCCCCCTGGGGGGTGATTTCTCACTTTCTGTCTCTGTCTCTCTCTGTTTTCCTGGTGAGCACACACGCCTTGTAGCAAAAACCTCTCAAAATAAATAAATAAAACCTCTCATAAATGAATGAATAGAATAGAATAGAATGTTTGGAGCATGGCATATGTTGATCTCATTCAGTTCTCACAATAAACATTTAAACAACAGTAAATGGTATTTTTAGAGTGTTCACTTTTTTAGTTATTTTTTTAAAGTAGTAAATTTTAAACAAATAATAAATTTAGTGACAGCTTACATGATTTTTTTTTTCTTTAAGTGAAGTGATTGGATTTACTAACAATAATTGTAATGGGTAAAAGTTTGTTTGCTTCCTGTTGTTTTGAGGGGTTTGTTTGTTTTAATTTGACCAGAGAAAGAGAAAGGGAACGTGGGAAAGCAAACCACCAGGTCCATGACTCGAACCCTAGCCAACCATATGAGAGTCCAGCACCTTAGCCTCACCACCTGCTGGCCCCAGGTGCTCACATTATTAAGAATGAAGTCCTTGACTTCCTGATTTGAAAAATGAGAGATATTATTAGTAACTTGTATTATTTATGAAAAGGATTTCTTTTTAAGTAATACTGTTCCATATACTTTAGTACTATCTGGTAACACTTAATTGTAAAATCCAGAAATAGAAATTGATTTGAATTCAAATTTGTTTTCAGAAAATTAAGTTTGTACGACTTTTATGTTTATGTATCAGTAACATTTTTATGCTTCTATATCAGAAACAAAAATATTTTTTCATTTTGAACAAGACATGTTGAATAATAAGACACAGGTTTCAAATTTTTCTTGTACTTGCTACTAGATAATAAGTAACAAGAAGTGAAACATTTTCAGGTATCCTCATTAAAGAAGAATGTGGGTCAGTTCAGTGGCTTTCCATTTGAAAAAGGAAGTCTCCAATATAAAAAGAAGGAAGAAATGTTGAAAAAGTAAGTTATTTTTACAAATGTTTTTGATCAATGTGCTTTTTAAGTTTATCGTTTCTTTAATTTGGTACAAAGCTCATGAGCTTGCCAAAGAGAGAGAGAGAAGAGGCAAGAAAGCATCCCCACAGGGAATGATCACGCCATGATACCTTCTTTGCTATCACTCCCTCCTTTCAGGATTTTGCACAGGCACATGTGCCCAGCATGTTTTTCAAACTGCTGGACCATAAACAGCACTGTTGGCCATGTGGAATCCAGCCACCTTAACCACCAGGCCACGATCGGCCCTGAGTTTATTAAAACCACCTGAGCCAATGATGGTGTGGTGGTTAAGGTGGCTGAATCCCACATGTCTTAACTGAGGTTCAAGATCCAGACCCAGCAAAAATACTCTGGGCATGTGTTTGTGCTGCAGGTCCCAGAGGAGAGTGGAAAATAAGGGACTGTGGTGTGGCCATTCCCGAAGGGGTTGATTTGTCACTTTCTTTCTCTTCCCCTCTCCAGGGAGTGTACTTGCCCTGCAGCAAAAAAAAAGGAATAAGAAAAAAATTATTTTCAGTAGATTGCTAACTTCTTACTTTAAACTCCAAGATTTCACTTACCTTTGATAGCTATTAATTTGGGATGTCTGTTACTTTCCAGTAAGTAGTGACTATCATGATTATTAAAATCTCTTACAGAAATCTTTATTTCCTAGAAGAATGATATAGATTAATCATTCACAGAGTCCAAACTTCAGAAGATCTGAAGTGAATAAAAGACAGTGGAAAAATCTCCACCATTCCTGTCCTTTGTCAGGTGCTCTGTTCCCCTTTAAACCATTAAATTATTTTGAAGATAATCAGTTTGATAGAAATAATGTGCTTCTCCATAATAAAAGATGGTACATTCCTAAGAACTTTTGTTAATTATTAAGTATCTCGTAGTTTAAGAACACTGATAAAGATGATTACTCCTTCATTGAAATACTGTCACCGTAGAAATGCTAAGGGGAAAATGTAGTAATCACCAGCCAGAAGAATTCTCAAGTTCATAAATTTCTATTATTGGAAACTTTTTACCCAAAAAAAAAAAGAGAGAGAGAAAACATTTTACATAATTAGCTAATGAATTTATTTAAATTTAGTTTATTCTTGTACCACCTTTAAAAAACTTCTTGGTGAATGGTATTTTCAGTTTATTAATAATGATACCTGGTTGTACACTGGTCAAGATTAAGATTCAAAACATTGGCTTTTTTTTTTTTTTTTTTTTTTTTGCTTTTTGTATTGTGAAGAATGCATGTAAAATTTCTCTATGATCATCTTGGTGTTTTCCACTTTCTGTTTCAGATTTAGAAATGCCATGTTAAAGAGTATCTGTGAAGTTCTAGATTTGGAGAGATCGGGTGTAAATAGTGAACTAGTGAAGAGGATTTTGAATTTTTTAATGCATCCAAAGCCTTCTGGCAAAGTAAGGATCATATTTTGCTGTTTTAATAAGAAATATGTTATTTATAGTGTTTCTCCTTAACATGACAATAATTGGTTAACAGCAGCATTGCTATCAACATTAGACAAAATCATTTATATTCAAAGGGTATGCTTTCTGTTGACATGTAAAATAATCTCATGATAAAAATAATGTAAAAGGCATTGATATATTCTCTCATATCAGATACTGTGTGACGGATGTAAGATTAAGAAAATTAGTGTCAGATAGGAAAGAAAATACAAACCAGATATTCAGGGTTTTGTACCTGGAAGATGTTGGACATATGTAACTGGTTGAATTGAGGATGAAGTTTTTGAGCTGGCAGAGACGGGGTCCAACCTGTAATCAGATCAGAAAAGATAATGTGAGAGAGTATATCAGAACTGGAAGGGTTTTAGATCCTGGAACAAACATATGAAAAAAGTGATATAGAAAAAGCTTGGGGACTAGCAGATGGTGTAATGGTTGTCACTTGACTCCCGTGTAGGCAACTGTAGTTTGAGTCCTGAACTGGCAGCTCAGACTCACACTGGGTACATGTGCATGCCTACAATCCCAAGTGGAGAATGGAGGAGAAGGAACTGCAGGGTGAAATCGCCACCCCACCCCCCGGGGGAGGTGATGATTTCTTGCTTTCTGTCTCTCTGTCTCTCTGGTGAGTGCACACACCCTACAGCAAAAAAATCTCTTGGAAAAAAAAAAAGGCTTCGCTCCTGAAGTTTTCTGAGTTGGGTTTTCTGAATCTCCCGCAAAGTCCAGAAGCTGAACAGGGAAATAAAATGGCTTAACAATTTTCCTACTCATCCTCAAATCTAGCCTAGGTTTGTCCTAATTACTCAATGTAACATGTGGTATTGGTGACATAAAATGTCTTTTGAGGCTTTCCTTCTGTGACCTTGCATTTTCAGTTCTAAGTCTCTTAGCAGATGTTTGCATATTCTTCCTCATTTTGATAGGAAAAGAAGTGTAAAGAGATCTAGCAGGCCTAGGAGTTGAGGGGCATGCCTTCCAGAGGGCATAAAGAAACTAGAAAGTAGCTCTTGGACATTGTCCTCATCTGCTCTTGACCTGAGCCCACTAGGTGAACAAAGACAGAGAAAGAATACTCAAGGTGGTGGTGTCATTATGCAGCCACTAATTCAAGGGATCTGATGGGTTTTGGTGTTACTTTCAAATTTTTACTGTGACTATACTTGTATTAGTTTTTAAAAATGTATTGGTTTTAGAACCACATTATTCTCTTTTTAATTGTCAGAGGGTGCTCACCCACTCTCTGGGGATGGTCACACTACCCCACTCCATTCTTCTGGAATTTAGGGCCATACACACACACACTGTGTATCAGATTTGAACTGTAAATCCTGTTAAATTAGCTACCTGGCCGTGACATTGGGCCCCTCATTATTCTCTTGAAGAAAGATGACTAAAGACGCCAAGAGCTTTTGTTTAAGTCAGTTATTTTGATATACACTGTATTTGAAATTTAAGCATTTTTTTATTTCAAAATGTTAACAAAAATCACATTTTATATGAAAAATGGCTATTTTTAAAGCCCAGAGAAGAGTGCATTTTTTAAATATTTATTTAATTCCATTTGTTATTATTTTTTATTTGAACAGAGAGAAAGGGAAAGTGAGGAAGCAAGCTGCCAGAGAGAGAGAGAGTGAAAGCAAGCCACAGATCTAGGACTTGAACCTTGGTCAGCCATGTGGGAGTGTCCAGCGCCTTAGCCACCACGCCACCTGCTGGTCCCAAGAGTGCATTTTATATTTTTGTATCTGTTTAATGTTTGCTTAAGAAAAAGCAGTTGGATGCTCATTTGCTTCTACATTTAGTCTATTGTAATGTATTTTTTGTCAGAAGTATATGAAGAAAATCCAGCCTCACATAGGTATGTAGTTATTGCAAGGAATATTTTAAAAATCCTTTCAGGTAATTGTGTTTATTCTTCGATGCAACATGAAAACTCCACAACCTGTAGTTTCTTAATAGTGGGTTGTAATGTTTAATGTAGAGTTGAAACCATTTAATGAACTTGAATCTTTCACCTATGTGTGTTTTTGCAACACGCACTCACCATTTGAAGTGTTCTCCTTGACATACATAGCTCTTTGAAATGTTGATTGAAATGTTGACACATGTATTAAATACTGTCAAAACATACTTCTTAATATAAATACCATCTCGTCAGAAAAAGGGAGGTATTGGGAAACTGAAGTTCGTAGTAGTAGACAGGAATTTTTCAGATCTATCATTGGCAATAAATACTGTCAGTTATTCTCTTCCAAGTGACAGGCCCACTTTGTCTTTCTGTCACCGTGCTCTCCAGAGAAAGAGAAGGCGCCTTTGGTGGGGGATTACCACACGTGTGTACATATCTGGCATGTTTCTCAAGACCGCACAGTCAGTCATGTGGGGTCTAGCTGTCTTATTCTCCACACCACTGGCTATCCCCACTCAAGCTATTTTCTGTTAGCTCCCCTCATTTAGTGCTATAAATTCCTATTTTTCTCTAAAATGATTTTTAGGTTAAGTGGTCACAACATTTATTAGTGATTGTTTTCTTAACCTTCTGTTATGCTGCTGTACTGCCTTATTTTGTTAATCAGATTTCATTTCCAAAAAGAGATAATGCTGTTGACACTAGATCCTGATGAATAGATCTAACTATTTTTAGAACCAGTATAAGAAAGCTCTAAAGCATTTATATATTATTACTTTTTGTTTTTAAAGTTTCTCATTTATTTTTGGAAGTTGTATTTTCTTTTTCCTTTTTTTTTTTTTTCTTTTTTCTTTTCCTGCCAGAGGGTATGTGCATTCACTAAAGAGATTGAAATCATCCCCGTGGTGGGGTATGGTCACACTACAGTTCCATTTCCTCTGCCTCCCCGTGCCATCAGGACCTTGGCCATGTATGCACACAGGCCCAGTGTGCTTCTCAGCCACAGGGGCGAGGTCTTGGACCGTGCCCAGCCACACGGGATCTGTTCCCTATATATACAGTTCTCAACCACCATGCTACAGGAACAGCCCAGGAATTGCTTTTTTTTTTTTTTTTTTTTTTTTTTGGTGGTTACTTAAATAATTTAATACCCTTTAACTTTCTTGTATAGGTTTATCCAGCTCCCATTCCAGTCTCCACATTACTAATTATATAGACTGTGTATTTGCTGCATACATCAGGTTACTGAGCTGAGCTTTCAAGATGTCACATTTCCCTAAAACATTAGTGATCCAGATTTCATGTAGTACGGACCGAGAGTTTGGACGATGAGAGTCACTTTTTCTCTAGACAGTGCTGTCAGCAAATTTATCCAGATGGACTTGGGTCCTGCCAATAGAAAATGCTCACATAGCGAGGATATCTTTATACATTCAAGGAAGTTTCCAGTAGAGAATCTCCCCTGAGAAATGTCTTAGTAGCCTAGCGAGGTTTTCAGAGCGCTCGAATGTGTCTATTTTCCAGCCTGCTTTTATTTATTTATGTATTTAATTTTTATTTTACTTTCTTTTTTCTTTTTTTGGCCATAGGGCATACATGTGTCCTTCCCTGAGAGAGTAAGAGGGAGAGAGGAAGTGAAGAATCACCCACCAGTGGAGATGGCCATGCCACAATCCCTTCTCAGTTCTCTCAGAATTTTGGACATGCATGTGCCCTATATGATTATCAAGTCACCGAGTCCGGGACTTGAGCCATGGTCAGCCCTGTTGGAATCCAGTGCCTTAACCACCACTCTACCTGCTGACCCCCTCCTTAGTCTGCCTTTTAAAGGTAGGTTGTTTGGAGAAGCTAGAGGCTACCTTATGGTTCATGTATAGCCTGAGAACACTGCATTACACAAAGCTACTCTTAATTTTTAAATGGGTAACAGCCCTGAAAGAGAAGTTCCTGGGAGAGAAAAGACCTGTGGTTATGTTAATTTTGTGAAAGATACTGTCTAATCACAATCGAATACCTTAGATTATATTACAGAATTTTATCTTAATGCTGCTGCTTACTACAGAAAGCAAAGTGTTTGGCAGAAATAAAAGATATTCGTAATCTTAGAAATAAACAATATTCATTTCATACCTTATATATTTTTAGACCCTTTATGTGAAGTTATTTTGTGGTGTTCAGTTTCAGAATTTTACAAATACTCCCTTGAGAAAGTATTTAAAAATCAAGTTTGTTCGTTAATATAGTCAAATCATTTCCTCTGCTCTTTAAAATATGGACGGTTTGGGACTAGCAGATGGCAAAGCAGTTACGTCACTGAACTCCCACATGGTGAACTGCGGTTCAAGTCCTGGACCCAGTGGCTTGAAATATCACACCGGGCACATGTGCATGCATGCCCAGGATCCTGCAGGAGAAGGGATTACGGCTTGGGCGTCCCCCCTGGGGGGTGATTTCTTACTTTACCTATCACCTTGTCTGTCTGTCTCTCTCTCTTTCTCTCTGGTGAGTGCATGTGCCCTAAAACAAAAACCTATAAAATAAAATAAAATATGTTGGTTTAACTGAATATTAGAGTAACAGCAGTGTACTTTGTGGTTCTTAATTAGTTTGATAATTAACATACTCAACATTTATTGCTTATTAGAAGCATCAGTGAGAATATGATTCTGCCATTATTGAAAGCAGAACCCAGAGGTAATATGAATATAAACTGTATATAGTTTATTCACAAACTTATAGTGCATTTAAAAAAACTTACGGTACGTAATCGGTGATCAGGTTCCCCTCACGCCTTTGATTGGTGAACCCTGTAAAGTAAGAAAAACTCCCCATGCAATTGAAAGTGGTTTTCTTCCTTCTCCTCCTCCTCCTCCTCCCCTTCTTCTTCTCCTTCTCCTCCTCCTCCTCTTTCCCCTTCTCCCGCCCTTAGCAGTGACAGCTTTAAAGCTTATATTATTGGAGTAAATTACAAGTCTAACTTAAAATGGTTATTTTGATAAAGTGTGAACAACTGTCTAAGCTTAACACAATATAAACGTGGGCATATGTTGCATTATGCGTAAAGTCAGGACACATTTTTGCATAGTAAAACAGAAAAATACATCACGACTTTTCCAATAACCTAATATATGTTTCTCTCAGCATTTCAGAGATTTGCCAGATGTTTAGAACACAAGTGAAAAGTTACAATAACATAATTTTAGATTAACTTGCCACATTATAAGTCAGAGATGGATTTTCTGTAAAGCTGCCTAGCTCATATAATTTCTTGAGAGAAGAATAAGAAGTTGAGAAGTAGTTATCCAAAACAATTGATGGGGTTGGAAATACATGTTGTCGGTGTTAACTTTATATATTTTTTTAATGCAGCCGTTGCCAAAATCTAAAAAATCCTCTAGCAAAGGGAGTAAAAAGGAACGGAACAGTTCTGGAATGGCAAGAAAGGCTAAGCGAACCAAATGTCCTGAAATTCTGTCAGATGAATCTAGTAGTGATGAAGACCCAAAGAAAAACAAAGAAGAGTCTTCAGACGATGAAGATAAAGAAAGCGAAGAGGAGGTAAAATGTTTTATTCTACATTTTAATAATTTCTTTCCATAGTGAAAGTTAAATATTCGTATGTATTAGAGACAGGCAGAAGACAGGGTCCCATATTGGTCCTGTTTAATTCTGAAGATACAGAAAAGAAAACAGGTTGGTGTGAACTGGACATGAAGCAGACTTGAGTTGGACCTTGCAGACTAGGGCAGAAAAGGAAAGGGAAGGAGGAGGGTTGCATCTCCAGAACAGGAATACATAGAAGATTCTTAGAGATTTTTTTTTTTTTCATAGTATAAATACTTTATAATTGACTTGAACCATTTTGTTTTACACAAAAAACAAGGAGTTTAAAAACTATCATTTTTCCTTAACATGTTGGAGATTTTTTAAAGTGAGAACAACAACATTTAAGTACATTTGTCCAGTGGGTAGGTTTTTTTTTTTTTTTTTTTTTAAAACACTTATTTTATTTGTTGTTATTTAATTTGACCGGGAAGAGAGAGAGAGAAAGGGAAAGTGAGAAAATAAGCAACTAGGTCCAAGATTTGAACAGTGGTGAGCCATGTGGAAGTCCAGCACTTTAACCATCACACCACCTGCCGGCCCCAACCAGTGACTAATTTGTATCACTTAGAAATACCTGCCATTTTCTTTTCATTTTTTTTTTTTTTAGAAGTTTTTGCCTTATGGTGTGTACACTCACCAGAAAGAGACAGACAATGAGAGAGAAAGTAAGATATCACACACACACCCCCCCCAGGGCCTTGGCCACGCTGTAATCCCTTTTCTTCCATTCTCCTCCCATGACCTTGGGCACGCACACACATGCACCCAGTATGATTTTCAAACCACTGTGCCAGGACTTGGTCCATGGATGGCTGTGTAAGAGTCCAGGCATGTAACCGCTATACCATCTGCCAGTCTCACACCCTTTTCTTGTATCTGGGAGTACATCTGACCTTTGAACAATGCTAGGGTTAGGGATTCTAACCTCCTGTGCAGTTGAAAATTCTTAATGAGTTTTTCTTTTTGTTTTTTTGAGAGGTTTTTCACTACAGGTCACGTGCGCTCGCCAGATAGACAGAGAGAGACAAAGCGAGAAATCACCCCCCAGGGGGGATGGCCACGCCACAATCCCTTCTCCTCCATTCTCCTCTCGGGATCTTGGGCACGCACGCACATGCACCCCATGCACCCGGCGTGGGTTTTAAGCCACCGGGTCTAGGACGTGAACCGCGGTTGATTACGTGAGAGTCCAGCGACATAGCCGTTATGCTAACTGCTGGTTCCCAAAATTCTTAATGAGTTTTGACTCCTCCAAAACTTCACTACTACTAGCTGTCTGTTAACTAAAAGCCTTACGGATGACTTAACAAGTCGAGTAACACACATATAATATTATATACTGTGTTCTTATAATAAAGCTAGATTAAAGAAAATATTATTATGAAATTCCCAAAAAAGAAAAATGTATTTACAGTATCTATTTTTTAAAAGCCATATAAGTTGACTGGTACAGTCCAAACTTATGTTGTTCGTGTATAAACTGTTGCTTTTATTTTGTTTATTGTTTATGTTTGCTGGAGAGCACGCATCCTGGTCAGTGGGAAAGGACAAAGCATCCCCCATGGGGAGTGTCGTGCTGCAGTCTCTCCTCCATCGCTCTCTCCTTTTGGAATTTTGGGCACACACAAGCACACGCACCTGGTGTGTTTCTCAAGCCACCAGGTCCAGGACTCAAACCATGATGTTGGCCATGTAGGATCTGACCGCTTTAATCACCAGGCCACAGAACTGGACTGGTAAATGGTACTTGCAAAATATGGTGTTTCCTTAGTTTCTAAAGGTAAACTTCAGGAAGAAAAGAACTGCTGAAGTGATTATAAGGCTTAGCTTGACTCCTTTACTCTCTCTGATGTGTATCCTCAATCAAACAGACGAGGGTGAGCCACTACAGGAGAGAGGTTCCTGTCTTTGTTACTGCTGCCTTGATAGACTATTCAGCGGTCAGAACTTGCTCTATAGATCAAGTATCTCCCTTATTTAGGGATTTAATTAATGCCAGCCTAACATGTTGAACCAGATCATTCTTTGTTGTGGAAATTCAACCCCCCCCCAGTCCCAGTAGCAACAACTAAAAATGTGTCCAAACAGTACTAGGTGTTCCCTCGTGTGTGTGTGTGGGGGGGGGGGGGGGGGGGGGCAGGGAGATCGCCTGCAGTTGTGCACCCCTGAGTCAGAAGGAATAAAGGTGTGGTGAACTGTGGTTTAATACGTGTGAGTGTTCACTGTGTGTATTTGTCTTGAGAAATTTAAAATGTATTTTTGTTTGTGTTTGTATTGCCAGAGAGGGAGAAAGCATATCCCGATGGGGTGTGGTCATGCCATAGTCCCTTTGCCATTTCTCCTTCCCATCAGGCTTTGGGCCACACACACACCCAATGCTCCTTAAGTCAGTGAGTGGGATTCAAACTGCATTATTAACACTGTGCTAAGGGACTGGCCCTATTCTTATTTAATATTGAATTTAATAAAGATTTCTATAAAGCTGGGGATCAGCAGGTGGCGTGGTAACTAAGGTGCTGGACACTCCTACATGGCCGACCATGGTTTGAGTTCCGGACCTGGTGGCTTGCTTTCTCAGTTTCCTTCTCTCCATCTCTGTGTCTTTCTCTGCTCAAGTTAAGAATAAATGAGTGAATAAAATTTTAAAAGAAAAGATTTCTATATAGCTAAGCATGAAATGCTTAATAATTTAAGAAAGATGGTCCAAAAGTCTATCAGATACTTCATAAATACCTTAGTATGTTCTAGCATGCTGGAAAAAGAGCAGTCTGAGCACTGAGTTTCTGTGGGTCAAGGAGAGCCTATCTGTGGTTGCGTGTGGAAGTGACAAAGTAAAGTAATGCTACTCCTCACTACATTTTTGGAGCATGTGCTCTTTTGTGAATGCACATGCTCTTGCTCTGTCATGAATAAACAACAATCCGACTTAGTCTTTTCATTAAAAGAAAAAACTAGCCTGTTCTATTAGAGAAATTTTTCCTGCTTAGGAGGATACTGACATTCTTCATGAAATACAATTCTAATAAACTGTGGGCTTAACCCCCTCTCCCCCCTGCCCCAGTAAACTACCCTCCAAAAAGCATAGGTGGTTTTCTTTGTTCGTTTTTTAAGAGATTTTTTTTCTACAGGGTGCATGTGCTCATCAGAGAAACAAAGAGATATAGAGACAGAAAGCAAGAAATAACCACCACCACCACCACCACCACCACCACCCCCGCCCCCCGGATGATGGCCATGCCACAATCCCTTCTCCTCCGTTTTCCTCTTGAGATCTTAGGCACGCATGCACACGTGCCTCCTGTGAGATTTAAGCCACCAGGTTTGAGATTCAAACTGCAGTTGACTACATGGGAGTTCAGCACTGTAACCATTATGCCATCTGCGGTCCTGCGATTTTTTTTAAGAAGTTATATAGCGCGGGACCCGCAGATGGTGTAATGGTAACATTGTTGGACTCCTATATAGGCGCATGGTTTGAGTTCCGGACCTGGTGGCTTGCTTTCTCAGTTTCCTTCTCTCCATCTCTGTGTCTTTCTCTGCTCAAGTTAAGAATAAATGAGTGAATAAAATTTTAAAAGAAAAGATTTCTATATAGCTAAGCATGAAATGCTTAATAATTTAAGAAAGATGGTCCAAAAGTCTATCAGATACTTCATAAATACCTTAGTATGTTCTAGCATGCTGGAAAAAGAGCAGTCTGAGCACTGAGTTTCTGTGGGTCAAGGAGAGCCTATCTGTGGTTGCGTGTGGAAGTGACAAAGTAAAGTAATGCTACTCCTCACTACATTTTTGGAGCATGTGCTCTTTTGTGAATGCACATGCTCTTGCTCTGTCATGAATAAACAACAATCCGACTTAGTCTTTTCATTAAAAGAAAAAACTAGCCTGTTCTATTAGAGAAATTTTTCCTGCTTAGGAGGATACTGACATTCTTCATGAAATACAATTCTAATAAACTGTGGGCTTAACCCCCTCTCCCCCCTGCCCCAGTAAACTACCCTCCAAAAAGCATAGGTGGTTTTCTTTGTTCGTTTTTTAAGAGATTTTTTTTCTACAGGGTGCATGTGCTCTCAGGAGAGACAGACAGAAAGTGAGAAATCCCACCCTCCCACCCCCTTGGGGGATGGCCACACTGCAATCACTTCTCTATTCTCCTCAGGATTTGGGGCACGCACATGCATGTGCCTGGTGTGAGTTTAAGCCACTGGGTTTGGGACTTGAACCGTGGTCAGCTATGTGGGAGTCCAGCAACATAGCTGTTATGCCATCTGCTGGTCCCAAACATAGAATACGTATTCTTACTGCTTTTTTGTTTGTTTCTTTTTTTGGAGAGGTTTTTGCTGTAGGGCATGTGTGCTCACCAGACAGAGAGAGAAAGCAAGAAATCACTCCCCAGGGGAGATGGGCCCGCACACACACATGCCTGGTTAAGGCACCAGGTCCAGGACTCAAACCGCGGTCGACTACATGGGAGTCCAGCGACATACCCATTATGCTATCTGCTAGTCCCGGTATTCTTACTACTTTAAAGACCTTTTAAATTTTAGGACTGCCAGTCTCGAAAACAGTTTCATTGTGGTGTCAGCCTTTCTATTTGAAGGGCCCTGATTGCTTTTGAAAGGTAAGTTTTGGCTGGAGGAACAGTGTTTCGGTGCCCCCTTTTTCCTTTATTCTCGCAGTTTACAAAGAGTTGGTTTACGATGGGGCTGCTGTGGTAGGGACTTTATAAATGGAGTGAACCTTTCATGGTCCTTTGAAAGGACTGTTTTCTAAGAGGTCCTAGAAAAGAAAGTTGAAGGTTAATTAGAAAATTTGTGGATTACCTACAGATGTTTTGATAGAAAGTTACTAAATATTCATTTTGTTTCCTGAACCTCATTTTTCTTGCATAAAGAGTAGATGCCTCTCCACGAAGATCAGCTTCTTGTTCTATTGTAGATTCTTGGGGTAAA